GTAAGCTTTAACGGATATTGAATATTAATGGTTACTCATATTTTCATAGTTACATAAACTTAATGAAATCTGCAGATATCTGTGGCCGACCCATGTTGATGCTTACAGAGATTTATCTCAATGCTCTAACCTACACCATGTCTCAAACTGTAAATAAAATATAGAATCAGTCAGATAACTTCCATCTAAAATACTTCATCTAATTTGTATAATGTGAACTTCCTTTTTTTTATATTATAACGTTCCCTGTCATCGATATAATGGCAATGTTAACTTATTGTTACGATGCTACTAACTGGAAGCAATATAAATCCAAACATTATGCTGGAGACTTTGTTTGTCTCTCGCTATTTCTAGTAAGGATTCTTGATAAAAGATAAAAGAAAACCAAATAAGCATGCATACACCAGCCATTGCAATGTTATCATTGTGTAATTACATAACGTCATGTTTTTTTCTACTAATGAAGTAAAATATATAAACCTGTTATCGAACTTCACGCAATATCGACCGAACCATATCTATAATGACGAAGGATAAAAAGACCTTTTTTTTTCTTGGGACACACTTGACTTCAAAAAAGATATTGATCATGTTGAACGGTTTCTTCCTAAGAGGTAAACAGGCAGTTTCATTTTTTAATACTTTTACTTGGGTTTCCGTGACTGTTACATTATTATCAATGATATGATACAAAGCGAGACCTGACAGAGAACATATGAGCGCAGTCAGTTCTGAAGGTCACAAATTAGGATAGACTGTGAGCGGAAAGTAAGACAAAACAAGAGTAACAAAAAATACTCTGATCTAGGATCTTCAACATTAAAAAATGAGTACCGATGTCCGGGGTGGGCTTACAACACCCCCCCCCCCCCCCCAATTCATGTATTAATTATTAAAAAAAGATTGACTCATGAAATATGAAAAATAAAAACACATCTTATGTTAACCACTTATCAGACATACAATAGACATTTACATTAGAGTTTTATCGTTCATAATATCATACATGATAGTTCGATATATAGATAAGTACATACTAACTTTTACAGACAACCTGCATATTTATGACCCATTCATATATATTTTACTACCAATTCTCAAATTACCTAAGTGATATTGCACCCTATTGATATACTTGACGTCCTTAACTAAACAAAAGAAGAGACTATATAGAACTCATGTAAATACAGTATATGTGCCAAAAAAGATATTGAAAATAACCATTGAACACAGATGATTACCCCGCTTGACTATAATGTTATAAAGGGGCATTACTCGAGAACGGTGAAAATGACGCCATCCAAATTCAAACTATATCTGCCTTTTGTAGTAATAATCATTGTATATATGTTTTGTAACATTTGTTTGATGCAAACTAACGTTAGAGAATGGAAACCAATTTTGGATAGACATACGGATGGACGTACGGATGGACTAGGGTAACATGTAATGCCCCCTTCGCTGCGGCGGTTGCATAGAAGCATTTCATCATATTCCCCAAGCATAATAGTTATAACAAAAACATGAAAAGTCGCATTCTTTTACGTGATGTAGAGAAATCTGTCTGAATATTTTGATGATTTGTTTTGTTTAGCTATAATGTGGACAGCAATATTCTTTGGTAATTAAAAAAATAGTTGTTTCTGGTTAAAATTGTCTTATAGATATAAGAGGATGTGGTATGAGTGACAATGAGACAACTCTCCATCCAAGTCAAAATTAATAAAAGTAAACCATTATAGGTCAAAGTACGGTCTTCAACACGGAGCCATGGCTCACACCAAACAGCAAGCTATAAAGGGCCCCAAAAATTACTAGTGTAAAACCATTCAAACGGGAAAACCAACGGTCTAATCTATATAAAAAACGAGAAACGAGAAACACTTATGAACCACATCAACAAACGACAACTACTGAACACCAGATTCCTGACTTAGGACAGGTGCAAACAATTGCAGCGGGTTGAAACGTTTTAATGGTTCCAAACCTTCACCCTTATCTGAAACAATAGTGTAACATCACAACATAGAAAGACACACTATAAAATATCAATTGAAATGGCTTAACTCAATCAAAAGACATATTAACACCAGTGAACATACACTGAACAAATAAATTTGATCTATGATACAATGTAAATATAAAATAAATAAACTAAGGGAAGAATAATTAAAGTAACATGTTATACCGCTGTGAAATGTTAAACAATTTAAGAAAAACAATATGCTTGTCTGTAAACAGACGTTTCTCTTCAACATGTTCAAATACTCCAACTGTTGTTTTTTCGCAGTTTACAATGGATGCGGTCTATAAAATATAAAGAAAGCTGCCTTTATTCATATAATCCGCATTATCAAACCTGACACATAAAAAATAAAGGTAAAATTATTACTTGGAAGAATTTTATTGATGTGTAAACCCAGTCCTATAATTTTAACCAGCTGTAAGTGATTGTGGATACTCTCAGATCTGTACTTAGTGTCTTTCCTATTGTGGGGATGTATAAATACCCTGCAACGTCCAGTCTGTAATTTGTTTTGATGCATGTGTTTCTGCGTCGTATCGATCTGACAAGTACAGCCCTTTTCAATAGATTTTTATAGTTCGTTCATTTGTTGTGCTATTACACCACTGTCCCAGGTTAGGGAAAATTTGATTAACTGCTACATTCTGTATATGCCCATGTCCAAAGTCAGGAGCCTTTAACATGTGTAATTCATTAGTTGTCGTTTGAAGCTGCATACATGTATCATACTTGATTTTCGTTCATTGTTTTGTACATAACTCAGACCGTATCTGTAGTTTTCTTGTTTGAAATGTTTTACATTTGTCATGGGTATTTAACAATGCGGTATGGGTTTTTGCTCATTGTTGACGACAGTACATAGACCTATTAATGTAAACTTCTATGTGATTTGGTCTTTGGTGAAGGGTAGTCTCATCGTCAATTAAACCATATTTTATTGTTATATGTAAAATTACTTATATTTTCAATGAAATGCACTGTAATTAATGCCAAAGTTGTATTTCATGAATACTTAGAGAACTATTCTGTCTCAAAGAATTAACTATTGAGACGTCACAAAACGTGTTATATATTTACACACGTTTTGGTGGCATGACTTTAACCAATGAAATTATATTTAACTTATAAAATCAGAATTTTCATGATATTGTAGAACCGTTTTAAATCATCACGCAGTCATTTCTGGTTTGTCAATTTGGTCACAAATCATATTTGATACCAAGTTAAGAGCACACAGATTTACATTAAAATAAACTGTTTATATTGAACATCAAAGCCGGCTATCTTCACCCTTTGGTTCTGGTGGACAGTTGTCTAATTGGTTATCATACCACATCTTCGTCTACGTCTAATTTTTATATTAGCAAAAACTAGTACTTCAAATCTGTAAAAGTATGCTAAGAATAAGAATATATTTAATTATTATTTAGTCAATACAACCAATGGGCTCTTAATACACTTATTATACTTGCAAATACTTAATGGCGTTTTTATGAAAAAATTAATGTAAATCAAATTCATGCATAAACATATAACTTTAATTTAATATATTTACTTATAACAGTGTCGTTGTCTTGTATAATCTTCCACAATCTGTAAACAATATCTTTGTCTTCAAACATTTTCCACTTTCTTGATTTGCACTTAATCCAAAAAGATATTAGGGCCATGCTTCATATTTTGGAAATACTTTTTCAACGTGGTCATTTGTTACTAATAATAGTACTGCTAAACTTCCTGCGAAAAGACATCAATGAAAACCATGTCTTTTTTTGTTCAATTTGAAAATTCACTTTAGAAATGACTTTACTGTGCTTGTAACGTTGGTACCGTGAAATCCCAAAACTGACGTAGTGATAGAAGCATCTAAACATATCACTCTTATTTAAAAAAGTAGGTTAATAAAATACAAGCACAAGTTAACGGTTCCAATCAATTTTTGAATTAATCCGCAAGTTTTAACATGCTGAAAACAACTAATTACATTTAAACCAAAACTGACGTTACATATGATATTGCATTACAGTAATATACAAAATCCTCTATTAAAGAAAATTGTTAGTTATTCTCGAATATGCGTCATTTACACGAAAAACTATTGAACCATTAATGTTTATAACTTATTTGCAATCCCCTTATCATGTTTTTTTCTTCAAAACTTTACCTCTTCATCTGATATTGCTCAATTAGCGGTTTTAATTTGTGTCACTTATTTCTGGTGTTTTTTTGAAGATTTGTTTTGGATTGACTACCTGAATTATTTCTAAGTTAATGTTTAGTTACTAATTACTGTTTAACGACCTCGGTTTTGAAAAAAAAATTGTGCAAATAATATTACCCTGAGCAAACAGGTCTTACACATGTTACAAGTACAGTGGGTATTTTAGTCATTTTGTAATCCTGTCATGCTTTCAATACAAATTTCAATATTCGGCATTCTGCATTCATGATTTGTAATAACATAAGCAACACGACGGGTGCCACATATGGAGCAGGATCTGCTTACCCTTTCGGAGCACCTGAAATCACCCCCAGTTTTTGGTGGGGTTCGTGTTGCTTAGACTTTAGTTTTCTATGTTGTGTCATCTGTACTATCATTTGTCGGTTTGTCTTTTTATTTTGGCCATCGCGTTGTCAGTTTGTTTTCGATCTATGAGTTTAAATGTCCCTATGGTATCTTCTTTAATAATGTATATGTCTTTTGGTTCTTTGCAGCTGGAAGCTAAGAGGTATTGAATGTTCTATATAGAGAAATATCTCACTAAAGATACCAAGAGTGCAAATTTGTAGGCAATATGCGAGTTTCATCTACAAAAGACGCATCAGTGACGCTTGAATAATAAAAGACGAAAATCAAAGATCCACTTTCACCAGTCATATCTTTAAACTAAAGTGGCACATAACAGTAATAACCACTTTTTATACTGTTGCATCTCTGAATTAAGACTCTAGTTAATTTTTAAATGTTCTATCATTCATTAATACATGTACCTGACACACTGGTACTACTGCAACTCTGAAGATATATATTTTCTACATTTAATTTATATACAATTAGATGAATTAGAAACATATTTGCATTTATTAAATCAAGTGAACCGGAAATTATCATTATCGAATTGATGCCTTGTTATATATTGACCCCAAATGCCTTTTTTGTGAACATTACATGTTACGTTTCCTTTAATATAGTAGTTTGACTGCATCAATTATTTTAATACAAACGGCATGGGAATTATTAACTTATTTGTTTTATTGCAATTGATGTATTATTTTTTTTCAAACTTCATACTATAAAAAGAAAAATATGCTATCAATTGACATTTGCTTTAACAAGAGCATTATATAAACAAATTAAAACACAAAAACAAAATTAATATTTTTTGATAGAATAGAAGTATATCTTATGAATATCAAACTATACAGAAAACCTATAATATGATTTAAATGCAATAAAATGGATGAAGTCGAGAAAATATATATGCACAAAAACAACACACAAGCAAAGTGTAAATAATATATTGCAGCATATCATAAAATATAATTAAAATTTAGCAGCAAAATAGCTTAAATTGTATGGGTATATATATATATATATATATTAACATACATCATGCATTACTATATCATAAAACCATTTAAGATCAAATTAAATATGAACATTCAATATGCAAAATTTATTATACTAAGTAATGATGGTATGAAGTAAAAAGTTTTACTAACATAAAACAATCAAATAAGACCGCGGTGTTGAATAATTTCGTTATTAATGTTTTAATGTTTTTATTTGAAAACAAAAATATATAGCTATCTAATATATTAAGTTTTAATTTGATAAACATCCATCGTTAACAGGTTTCACTATACTATGATGTTCATCGGCTCCATCGTTAAGTGTAAAAAAGTCATTACAAAAAAATATGAAATTCTAAGTGTAGTTCACTTAACCATGCTAATCTACGGTTTATATATGTTCATGATGCATTCGCCGTTTTAGTTAAGACCTCTAATTTCTATCAGTTGCTTGTCTTATGTTTTTTTATTTGAAATTCAGAGTTTGGCTAGATTGTGTATGGTTTTTAATGAATGCAGAAGGTTTTAGATTTCTATTTGTTGGTTTTCAGCAACTCCGAAGAGCCGCTTCATTTTATCGCAATGTACATGTACATGTATCAATATTCAAAACAAACATAAACGCGTTTCAGTAGATCTACCCGATGCGCTTTTTTATCATTCGTCTTTAAAAACAGGTAAATAAACATATATTCATGAAAAAAATAGATCACATAATCACTGATATTCAATCGATACAAAGTCTTAAATACAGTTTGAAAACTGCAGTAAGAAAGTCGATAAAGGTGTTTTCGGTATAAAAACATAAACAAAAAATATTTTTGGATGCAGATATGACGCATAATCTTTCATAAATAACAATGTAGCTGCGTAATAGTTACCTTTGCTACAGTTTTTGTCAGTAAATCCAGGAAGACATACGCATTTGAAATCATTGACCAGATCAATACAGGTAGCGTTATGTTCACATGGGTTAGATAAGCACTCATCGATATCTGAAACGAACACCAAAGCCAGACTTAAACATTAGTTTATAAATTAGAGACATTGTCGTAATTCAATGGCATCATGATCAACAGTTTTATGTTTTTAGGAAAACAAGGCAACTGTAGACAGCAAATTGTGTATTTTGAAACTTTAATCAAATAGAGGACAGAGTTGAAAACTAGTTGAACAATAGTCTTTGTTGGATACGGAATTAGAATCAGTATAAGAATACACTATTAAATATTAAATGGGCACGGTCGTTAGTGAGTTACATGTGTTGCACGTTTGGATGCACAAATACAATCTAAATATTTTTTGTGTATCGATGCAGGTTGAATTTTTTCACAAAGGCTAAGAAAATCAACAGCAATTCGTTAATGTTAATGTTTATTGAAAACAAATATATATTGTTCATGCTGAATGCCGATCGACATTGACCTATGCTTTTTCATTTGCTACTGTTATCAGAGGCAGACTTTACAAAAGTTCATACATTATAGTTTGAAAGCAAAAAGAATCAGTTAAACAATGATGAGAGGAGTATGATTTGAAATCAGGAATTAAAATGTCATTTTTACCTAACCTCTCTCAAAAACAAGTGTAACAATTATAAAATCGTTTCTGTAGACCTTCTCATGTGTACTATGACCATCTGTCTTCCATATGAACATCAACATGCAAACAAGTATATAGATCACATTAACACAAATAGTCAATGGATACACAGTCTTTCGGACAGTTTGTAAATAACAGAAAGAAAGTAGTCATATGTGTTTTCGAAACAACATCCTGCAGGTGTAATACCACTATTGATTTTTCCAAATTTGTCTTTGTTTAATTTGCACTTTTAAAAAAATTGTGCAGAATTTATCTTTGTTTCAAATAAAGAAATACTTGGCATGAGTAAAATTGTAACCTGTCCAGTGCTATAGACAAAACTTCATGACGCACTGGACTTTGGGTTAGTCGAACCTCGGATGAGTCGAATACTTTGGTCTGGTCCCTTCGATTTCGACACAACGAGGTTCGACTGTTGAAAAACTAAATAAAAAACTATATGGAAAACAGTTTTTTGTTGGAACTGCTATTTGAATCAATATCCAAAATGAAATATGCAGACATAAACCACATTAAATATGCACGGTCGTTAGTGATTTGTATGTGCTTCAAGTTTTGTCATAATTCCAGATGCATATACACATTAAAACAACTTTTCATACCGATGCAGGTTGCATTTTGTCGAAGAGGATATATAATGGACATCAATTTGTCGTTAGGTTTATTGAAATTACAGAACAAAAAGTTGTTTTGTTAAAGCCAAAACGCAGGAAAAAAAATCATGTTACTTGAAAATATTAAATATCGTTCATGCTGATTCCCGATCGCCATTGACTAATGCTTTATTAACTTATATTTTTTTTTTTTATAAAATAGCAGAAAGACGGTCGGTATACAATGTAGGTATTTCGACACAAACACCTTGAACCTGAACATGCAAACAAGTACATAGATCACATAAACATTAATTTTGATTATTTGAATTTAGGAAATAACATGGCATGTTCATCTATCCATACAACATACTCCAATACAGTTGAAAAAGAGATACTGTATACCAGAAATACCAAACTCGGAAAGTCTCTAATCAAGTGGCCTTATCAAAAGCTCAAACGCATCAAACGAATGTATAAATTGTTTCAGTAAACCTACTCGATATGAAGTTGCAATATCCGTCATACAGAAATTTAAATCGACATGCAGAAATCTTATACGTTCCTGTTTTTCACCTCCAATTTGTTATGGTAATGATCTTTACAAAGCACAACAATGTTGGCATTTACCTCAAAAGCTAACCAAACCTTTAAACACAGGTGTTTTCGAATCAACAACCTAAGCAGAATGAATTTGGAAGCAGATATGAGGCACAACAGTTAAGTATTGAAAATGATGCTGTTTAAATATTTACCTTCGCTACAGGTTTTGTCAGTAAATTCAACTGGACACATGCATTGAAAATCATTGACCAGATCAATACAGGTGCACATTTGTCAATATTTAGAGTAAAATTCAAAAGGGGACACGTTATTGTTGTCCTGCCAAATTCGTTAGTAAAAAAGATAATTTCAACAGAAAGAAGGTTATTGTTTAGAGTTTTAAACACAGGACAAATATCATGTAATCTTAACATTGTATATATATACTATTCTCATTGTTAATAAATTCTACTGAAAACATAAGCAGACGCTACTTATAAAATTATACATTAAAAACTATCATTGTCAGAATGCGTCTTAGTTGACTTAAAGCAGTTATATGTCATATTCAATACAAGTGCAAGAAGTGTAATTGCGGCTCAGTAGACCTACTCGATCTTTACCTTGATTATCTGTCTTTTTTATAATACAATTAAAAAAAGAAATCATACAAACAGCTTATCAATCAAAACAAGTTCTCTCAAGGCAGATTATCAACGGCAATAAGGAAGTCACAAAAGATGTTTTCGTTATAAGAAAATTAATAAATATATTTTTGATGCAGATATGAGACATGATAGTATATTAAAAACAGTTGTAGCTTAAGAGTAACATGAGCCACAGTTTTTGTCAGTAAAACCAGGAGGACATGTGCATTGAAAATCATTGACTAGATCAATAAAGTAATTGTTATTCAATCAAATCGTGTTAACCTTATATCTGTTTTACAAATAGATCTAGCACAGCAAGAACCTGTAGACAAATGATTTTTTATTTTCTAACATTAAATAAAAACAGGCAACTGTAATACACACTATTTGTACCAAAGTTGTTTGTTGGAAAGCTATTGCACTCATTGTTCTTCATCAGCCAAAGTAAATTACCAATGGTGAGAAGCACCTAATTCGAATTCAGGAATTTTCATGTGATTGATACCAATTTATATTTTTATAAGATTGCTAGAAACGTAAATGCATTGTTGTAGAATTTCTCCATCTGTATTTGACAATTTGTCTTCTATATGAACATAATTACTACACAGCAAAAAATGCAACGCATGTTTACCAGGTGTTTTTGAAAACGTATGGTAAACATGCGTTTCACCATATGTTTACCATGTGTTTTGAGTAACAGGTGGTAAACATGTGTTTGAAACCATGCGTTTCCAATATGTTTGAAAAACATGTGGTACACATGCGTTGATGAACGGATGTGAAACACATGTTTACAAAACGCATGAGAAATATACGTTTGACCACATGTTTACCATATGTTTTAAGAAACACCTGGTAAACAGGTGTTTGAAAACATGTGGTAAACTTATGTTTTGAAAAACACCTGGTAAACGCATGTTTTGAGTAACACCTGGTTAACATATGTTGGAAAACAGGCTGTTAACGTTTGTTTTGAGTAATACCCGATAAACATATTTATGTTAAATTACATATGTTTTCATATTTTATATTACTTTATATTGCTGATATTAAGGAGTAACCATTTAACTTCAAAAGGGGGGAGGGGTATGGGATCAGAAATTTGTATAATGTGAACTTCCTTTTTTTTATATTATAACGTTCCCTGTCATCGATATAATGGCAATGTTAACTTATTTTTACGATGCTACTAACTGGAAGCAATATAAATCCAAACATTATGCTGGAGACTTTGTTTGTCTCTCGCTATTTCTAGTAAGGATTCTTGATAAAAGATAAAAGAAAACCAAATAAGCATGCATACACCAGCCATTGCAATGTTATCATTGTGTAATTACATTATGTCATGTTTTTTTCTACTAATGAAGTAAAATATATAAACCTGTTATCGAACTTCACGCAATATCGACCGAACCATATCTATAATGACGAAGGATAAAAAGACCTTTTTTTTTCTTGGGACACACTTGACTTCAAAAAAGATATTTTTCAAGTAGTATCATCATGATCATGTTGAACGGTTTCTTCCTAAGAGGTAAACAGGCAGTTTCATTTTTTAATACTTTTACTTGGGTTTCCGTGACTGTTACATTATTATCAATGATATGATACAAAGTGGGACCTGACAGAGAACATATGAGCGCAGTCAGTTCTGAAGGTCACAAATTAGGATAGACTGTGAGCGGAAAGTAAGACAAAACAAGAGTAACAAAAAATACTCTGATCTAGGATTTTCAACATTAAAAAATGAGTACCGATGTCCGGGGTGGGCAATACTCGAGAACGGTGAAAATGACGCCATCCAAATTCAAACTATATCTGCCTTTTGTAGTAATAATCATTGTATATTTGTTTTGTAACATTTGTTTGATGCAAACTAACGTTAGAGAATGGAAACCAATTTTGGATAGACATACGGATGGACGTACGGATGGACTAGGGTAACATGTAATGCCCCCTTCGCTGCGGCGGTTGCATAGAAGCATTTCATCATATTCCCCAAGCATAATAGTTATAACAAAAACATGAAAAGTCGCATTTTTTTACGTGATGTTGAGAAATCTGTCTGAATATTTTGATGATTTATTTTGTTTAGCTATAATGTGGACAGCAATATTCTTTGGTAATTAAAAAAATAGTTGTTTCTGGTTAAAATTGTCTTATAGATATAAGAGGATGTGGTATGAGTGACAATGAGACAACTCTCCATCCAAGTCAAAATTAATAAAAGTAAACCATTATAGGTCAAAGTACGGTCTTCAACACGGAGCCATGGCTCACACCAAACAGCAAGCTATAAAGGGCCCCAAAAATTACTAGTGTAAAACCATTCAAACGGGAAAACCAACGGTCTAATCTATATAAAAAACGAGAAACGAGAAACACTTATGAACCACATCAACAAACGACAACTACTGAACACCAGATTCCTGACTTAGGACAGGTGCAAACAATTGCAGCGGGTTGAAACGTTTTAATGGTTCCAAACCTTCACCCTTATCTGAAACAATAGTGTAACATCACAACATAGAAAGACACACTATAAAATATCAATTGAAATGGCTTAACTCAATCAAAAGACATATTAACACCAGTGAACATACACTGAACAAATAAATTTGATCTATGATACAATGTAAATATAAAATAAATAAACTAAGGGAAGAATAATTAAAGTAACATGTTATACCGCTGTGAAATGTTAAACAATTTAAGAAAAACAATATGCTTGTCTGTAAACAGACGTTTCTCTTCAACATGTTCAAATACTCCAACTGTTGTTTTTTCGCAGTTTACAATGGATGCGGTCTATAAAATATAAAGAAAGCTGCCTTTATTCATATAATCCGCATTATCAAACCTGACACATAAAAAATAAAGGTAAAATTATTACTTGGAAGAATTTTATTGATGTGTAAACCCAGTCCTATAATTTTAACCAGCTGTAAGTGATTGTGGATACTCTCAGATCTGTACTTAGTGTCTTTCCTATTGTGGGGATGTATAAATACCCTGCAACGTCCAGTCTGTAATTTGTTTTGATGCATGTGTTTCTGCGTCGTATCGATCTGACAAGTACAGCCCTTTTCAATAGATTTTTATAGTTCGTTCATTTGTTGTGCTATTACACCACTGTCCCAGGTTAGGGAAAATTTGATTAACTGCTACATTCTGTATATGCCCATGTCCAAAGTCAGGAGCCTTTAACATGTGTAATTCATTAGTTGTCGTTTGAAGCTGCATACATGTATCATACTTGATTTTCGTTCATTGTTTTGTACATAACTCAGACCGTATCTGTAGTTTTCTTGTTTGAAATGTTTTACATTTGTCATGGGTATTTAACAATGCGGTATGGGTTTTTGCTCATTGTTGACGACAGTACATAGACCTATTAATGTAAACTTCTATGTGATTTGGTCTTTGGTGAAGGGTAGTCTCATCGTCAATTAAACCATATTTTATTGTTATATGTAAAATTACTTATATTTTCAATGAAATGCACTGTAATTAATGCCAAAGTTGTATTTCATGAATACTTAGAGAACTATTCTGTCTCAAAGAATTAACTATTGAGACGTCACAAAACGTGTTATATATTTACACACGTTTTGGTGGCATGACTTTAACCAATGAAATTATATTTAACTTATAAAATCAGAATTTTCATGATATTGTAGAACCGTTTTAAATCATCACGCAGTCATTTCTGGTTTGTCAATTTGGTCACAAATCATATTTGATACCAAGTTAAGAGCACACAGATTTACATTAAAATAAACTGTTTATATTGAACATCAAAGCCGGCTATCTTCACCCTTTGGTTCTGGTGGACAGTTGTCTAATTGGTTATCATACCACATCTTCGTCTACGTCTAATTTTTATATTAGCAAAAACTAGTACTTCAAATCTGTAAAAGTATGCTAAGAATAAGAATATATTTAATTATTATTTAGTCAATACAACCAATGGGCTCTTAATACACTTATTATACTTGCAAATACTTAATGGCGTTTTTATGAAAAAATTAATGTAAATCAAATTCATGCATAAACATATAACTTTAATTTAATATATTTACTTATAACAGTGTCGTTGTCTTGTATAATCTTCCACAATCTGTAAACAATATCTTTGTCTTCAAACATTTTCCACTTTCTTGATTTGCACTTAATCCAAAAAGATATTAGGGCCATGCTTCATATTTTGGAAATACTTTTTCAACGTGGTCATTTGTTACTAATAATAGTACTGCTAAACTTCCTGCGAAAAGACATCAATGAAAACCATGTCTTTTTTTGTTCAATTTGAAAATTCACTTTAGAAATGACTTTACTGTGCTTGTAACGTTGGTACCGTGAAATCCCAAAACTGACGTAGTGATAGAAGCATCTAAACATATCACTCTTATTTAAAAAAGTAGGTTAATAAAATACAAGCACAAGTTAACGGTTCCAATCAATTTTTGAATTAATCCGCAAGTTTTAACATGCTGAAAACAACTAATTACATTTAAACCAAAACTGACGTTACATATGATATTGCATTACAGTAATATACAAAATCCTCTATTAAAGACAATTGTTAGTTATTCTCGAATATGCGTCATTTACACGAAAAACTATTGAACCATTAATGTTTATAACTTATTTGCAATCCCCTTATCATGTTTTTTTCTTCAAAACTTTACCTCTTCATCTGATATTGCTCAATTAGCGGTTTTAATTTGTGTCACTTATTTCTGGTGTTTTTTTGAAGATTTGTTTTGGATTGACTACCTGAATTATTTCTAAGTTAATGTTTAGTTACTAATTACTGTTTAACGACCTCGGTTTTGAAAAAAAAAATTGTGCAAATAATATTACCCTGAGCAAACAGGTCTTACACATGTTACAAGTACAGTGGGTATTTTAGTCATTTTGTAATCCTGTCATGCTTTCAATACAAATTTCAATATTCGGCATTCTGCATTCATGATTTGTAATAACATAAGCAACACGACGGGTGCCACATATGGAGCAGGATCTGCTTACCCTTTCGGAGCACCTGAAATCACCCCCAGTTTTTGGTGGGGTTCGTGTTGCTTAGACTTTAGTTTTCTATGTTGTGTCATCTGTACTATCATTTGTCGGTTTGTCTTTTTATTTTGGCCATCGCGTTGTCAGTTTGTTTTCGATCTATGAGTTTAAATGTCCCTATGGTATCTTCTTTAATAATGTATATGTCTTTTGGTTCTTTGCAGCTGGAAGCTAAGAGGTATTGAATGTTCTATATAGAGAAATATCTCACTAAAGATACCAAGAGTGCAAATTTGTAGGCAATATGCGAGTTTCATCTACAAAAGACGCATCAGTGACGCTTGAATAATAAAAGACGAAAATCAAAGATCCACTTTCACCAGTCATATCTTTAAACTAAAGTGGCACATAACAGTAATAACCACTTTTTATACTGTTGCATCTCTGAATTAAGACTCTAGTTAATTTTTAAATGTTCTATCATTCATTAATACATGTACCTGACACACTGGTACTACTGCAACTCTGAAGATATATATTTTCTACATTTAATTTATATACAATTAGATGAATTAGAAACATATTTGCATTTATTAAATCAAGTGAACCGGAAATTATCATTATCGAATTGATGCCTTGTTATATATTGACCCCAAATGCCTTTTTTGTGAACATTACATGTTACGTTTCCTTTAATATAGTAGTTTGACTGCATCAATTATTTTAATACAAACGGCATGGAAATTATTAACTTATTTGTTTTATTGCAATTGATGTATTATTTTTTTTCAAACTTCATACTATAAAAAGAAAAATATGCTATCAATTGACATTTGCTTTAACAAGAGCATTATATAAACAAATTAAAACACAAAAACAAAATTAATATTTTTTGATAGAATAGAAGTATATCTTATGAATATCAAACTATACAGAAAACCTATAATATGATTTAAATGCAATAAAATGGATGAAGTCGAGAAAATATATATGCACAAAAACAACACACAAGCAAAGTGTAAATAATATATTGCAGCATATCATAAAATATAATTAAAATTTAGCAGCAAAATAGCTTAAATTATATGGGTATATATATATATATATATATATATATATTAACATACATCATGCATTACTATATCATAAAACCATTTAAGATCAAATTAAATGTGAACATTCAATATGCAAAATTTATTATACTAAGTAATGATGGTATGAAGTAAAAAGTTTTACTAAAATAAAACAATCAAATAAGACCGCGGTGTTGAATAATTTCGTTATTAATGTTTTAATGTTTTTATTTGAAAACAAAAATATATAGCTATCTAATATATTAAGTTTTAATTTGATAAACATCCATCGTTAACAGGTTTCACTATACTATGATGTTCATCGGCTCCATCGTTAAGTGTAAAAAAGTCATTACAAAAAAATATGAAATTCTATGTGTAGTTCACTTAACCATGCTAATCTATGGTTTATATATGTTCATGATGCATTCGCCGTTTTAGTTAAGACCTCTAATTTCTATCAGTTGCTTGTCTTATGTTTTTTTATTTGAAATTCAGAGTTTGGCTAGATTGTGTATGGTTTTTAATGAATGCAGAAGGTTTTAGATTTCTATTTGTTGGTTTTCAGCAACTCCGAAGAGCCGCTTCATTTTATCGCAATGTACATGTACATGTATCAATATTCAAAACAAACATAAACGCGTTTCAGTAGATCTACCCGATGCGCTTTTTTATCATTCGTCTTTAAAAACAGGTAAATAAACATATATTCATGAAAAAAATAGATCACATAATCACTGATATTCAATCGATACAAAGTCTTAAATGCAGTTTGAAAACTGCAGTAAGAAAGTCGATAAAGGTGTTTTCGGTATAAAAACATAAACAAAAAATATTTTTGGATGCAGATATGACGCATAATCTTTCATAAATAACAATGTAGCTGCGTAATAGTTACCTTTGCTACAGTTTTTGTCAGTAAATCCAGGAAGACATACGCATTGGAAATCATTAACCAGATCAATACAGGTAGCGTTATGTTCACATGGGTTAGATAAGCACTCATCGATATCTGAAACGAACACCAAAGCCAGACTTAAACATTAGTTTATAAATTAGAGACATTGTCGTAATTCAATGGCATCATGATCAACAGTTTTATGTTTTTAGGAAAACAAGGCAACTGTAGACAGCAAATTGTGTATTTTGATACTTTAATCAAATAGAGGCCAGAGTTGAAAACTAGTTGAACAACAGTCTTTGTTGAATACGGAATTAGAATCAGTATAAGAATACACTATTAAATATTAAATGGGCACGGTCGTTAGTGAGTTACATGTGTTGCACGTTTGGATGCACACATACAATCTAAATATTTTTTGTGTATCGATGCAGGTTGAATTTTTTCACAAAGGCTAAGAAAATCAACAGCAATTCGTTAATGTTAATGTTTATTGAAAACAAATATATATTGTTCATGCTGAATGCCGATCGACATTGACCAATGCTTTTTCATTTGCTACTGTTATCAGAGGCAGACTTTACAAAAGTTCATACATTATAGTTTGAAAGCAAAAAGAATCAGTTAAACAATGATGAGAGGAGTATGATTTGAAATCAGGAATTAAAATGTCATTTTTACCTAACCTCTCTCAAAAACAAGTGTAACAATTATAAAATCGTTTCTGTAGACCTTCTCATGTGTACTATGACCATCTGTCTTCCATATGAACATCAACATGCAAACAAGTATATAGATCACATTAACACAAATAGTCAATGGATACACAGTCTTTCGGACAGTTTGTAAATAACAGAAAGAAAGTAGTCATATGTGTTTTCGAAACAACATCCTGCAGGTGTAATACCACTATTGATTTTTCCAAATTTGTCTTTGTTTAATTTGCACTTTTAAAAAAATTGTGCAGAATTTATCTTTGTTTCAAATAAAGAAATACTTGGCATGAGTAAAATTGTAACCTGTCCAGTGCTATAGACAAAACTTCATGACGCACTGGACTTTGGGTTAGTCGAACCTCGGATGAGTCGAATACTTTGGTCTGGTCCCTTCGATTTCGACACAACGAGGTTCGACTGTTGAAAAACTAAATAAAAAACTATATGGAAAACAGTTTTTTGTTGGAACTGCTATTTGAATCAATATCCAAAATGAAATATGCAGACATAAACCACATTAAATATGCACGGTCGTTAGTGATTTGTATGTGCTTCAAGTTTTGTCATAATTCCAGATGCATATACACATTAAAACAACTTTTCATACCGATGCAGGTTGCATTTTGTCGAATAGGATATATAATGGACATCAATTTGTCGTTAGGTTTATTGAAATTACAGAACAAAAAGTTGTTTTGTTAAAGCCAAAACGCAGGAAAAAAAATCATGTTACTTGAAAATATTAAATATCGTTCATGCTGATTCCCGATCGCCATTGACTAATGCTTTATTAACTTATATTTTTTTTTTTATAAAATAGCAGAAAGACGGTCGGTATACAATGTAGGTATTTCGACACAAACACCTTGAACCTGAACATGCAAACAAGTACATAGATCACATAAACATTAATTTTGATTATTTGAATTTAGGAAATAACATGGCATGTTCATCTATCCATACAACATACTCCAATACAGTTGAAAAAGAGATACTGTATACCAGAAATACCAAACTCGGAAAGTCTCTAATCAAATGGCCTTATCAAAAGCTCAAACGCATCAAACGAATGTATAAATTGTTTCAGTAAACCTACTCGATATGAAGTTGCAATATCCGTCATACAGAAATTTAAATCGACATGCAGAAATCTTATACGTTCCTGTTTTTCACCTCCAATTTGTTATGGTAATGATCTTTACAAAGCACAACAATGTTGGCATTTACCTCAAAAGCTAACCAAACCTTTAAACACAGGTGTTTTCGAATCAACAACCTAAGCAGAATGAATTTGGAAGCAGATATGAGGCACAACAGTTAAGTATTGAAAATGATGCTGTTTAAATACTTACCTTCGCTACAGGTTTTGTCAGTAAATTCAAGAGGACACATGCATTGAAAATCATTGACCAGATCAATACAGGTGCACATTTGTCAATATTTAGAGTAAAATTCAAAAGGGGACACGTTATTGTTGTCCTGCCAAATTCGTTAGTAAAAAAGATAATTTCAACAGAAAGAAGGTTATTGTTTAGAGTTTTAAACACAGGACAAATATCATGTAATCTTAACATTGTATATATATACTATTCTCATTGTTAATAAATTCTACTGAAAACATAAGCAGACGCTACTTATAAAATTATACATTAAAAACTATCATTGTCAGAATGCGTCTTAGTTGACTTAAAGCAGATATATGTCATATTCAATACAAGTGCAAGAAGTGTAATTGCGGCTCAGTAGACCTACTCGATCTTTACCTTGATTATCTGTCTTTTTTATAATACAATTAAAAAAAGAAATCATACAAACAGCTTATCAATCAAAACAAGTTCTCTCAAGGCAGATTATCAACGGCAATAAGGAAGTCACAAAAGATGTTTTCGTTATAAGAAAATTAATAAATATATTTTTGATGCAGATATGAGACATGATAGTATATTAAAAACAGTTGTAGCTTAAGAGTAACATGAGCCACAGTTTTTGTCAGTAAAACCGGGAGGACATGTGCATTGAAAATCATTGACTAGATCAATAAAGTAATTGTTATTCAATCAAATCGTGTTAACCTTATATCTGTTTTACAAATAGATCTAGCACAGCAAGAACCTGTAGACAAATGATTTTTTATTTTGTAACATTAAATAAAAATAGGCAACTGTAATACACACTATTTGTACCACAGTTGTTTGTTGGAAAGCTATTGCACTCATTGTACTTCATCAGCCAAAGTAAATTACCAATGGTGAGAAGCACCTAATTCGAATTCAGGAATTTTCATGTGATTGATACCAATTTATATTTTTATAAGATTGCTAGAAACGTAAATGCATTGTTGTAGAATTTCTCCATCTGTATTTGACAATTTGTCTTCTATATGAACATAATTACTACACAGCAAAAAATGCAACGCATGTTTACCAGGTGTTTTTGAAAACGTATGGTAAACATGCGTTTCACCATATGTTTACCATGTGTTTTGAGTAACAGGTGGTAAACATGTGTTTGAAACCATGTGTTTCCAATATGTTTGAAAAACGCATGTGAACGCATGTGAAACACATGTTTACAAAACGCATGAGAAATATACGTTTGACCACATGTTTACCATATGTTTTAAGAAACACCTGGTAAACAGGTGTTTGAAAACATGTGGTAAACTTATGTTTTGAAAAACACCTGGTAAACGCATGTTTTGAGTAACACCTGGTTAACATATGTTGGAAAACAGGCTGTTAACGTATGTTTTGAGTAATACCCGATAAACATATTTATGTTAAATTACATATGTTTTCATATTTTATATTACTTTATATTGCTGATATTAAGGAGTAACCATTTAACTTCAAAAGGGGGGAGGGGTATGGGATCAGAATTTTTTTTCGCGCAAAGCGTGAACAAATTTATTTAGGTTTTCGACGCTATCAATCAATTTTTTTTTCAAAATTTAACACTATAAGGTATTTGGGAAATCTGCATTCAGAATATTTTTTTTGTCATCTGCTTGACCAGAAATTTTTTTTGTTCATTGAATTGGGGATCAGAATATTTTTTTAGAAAAAAAATTACCCCCCCCCCCCCCCCCCCCCCCCTTTTTGAAGTTAAATGGTAGTTCCCTAAGTAAGTGTCAGATTGTTGGAGATCTGAGGTAGTTTCTGTCTTCTCTTGTTCAATGATGCTCATTCAAATTAGTGGAAAGAAACACTTTATCGTGTTAAAATCATGACAAACAACAGTCACTAAATTGTGTCACTTCGTCCCTTATGCAATGTACAGAATAATGTACCATCATAATATGCATTTCTTCTTTTTTAGTGTGATTTTAAAGCAAAGGATATAAACTGTTTCTATTTTACTTGTGTTTTTATGCAAAATTTGATGGTTGAGATGGGTTTACCGTTATACCTGCCAATCTAATGTCCCTCCAATCCGCCTAATCATGCAACTAGAACAATTGTAATTCTTGTGAGTTTGACAGTCTGGCAATAGCAACCAAGTAACGTCATATGCATGTGATGTCATAATTTAGACACCTCTTAATTACTTCTTTCAAATTTCGTATGTGGAATAAATGTCCTTCTTAATTTCTCTTTTCAACTTGCATCACTTTATCCAAATACCACCATTAAAAAAAAGAAATATAACAAACTCGAAGAAATGTGCTTACTCATTAAATTGTTTTCTTCTTATCTTAGTAAATTTCTTCTTTCTCACAGCACTCGTGTCACACAGAGACAGAACTCGCACCACTGAAGAAATGTTTTTAATCATCAGAGAGTTCTATGTAAGAACAACTTACAAACTAATCAAAACTATCAACATAATGCATCAGTGCATAAAACCATATTTCCAAACATATAACTAAGGAAGGACTTGTGATTCTTAACTAATCATATGTTATATTAGTAAAATTGGCTTAAATAACACCTATGTGTCCAAGATTGATTGATTAACGCCACTTTCAACAATATTGGTTATTTCGTAGTAGTAAGTTTTTTTAATGACAGAGGAATATGGAGAGAACCATAGACCTTCCGGGCAGTAAAACTTACAGTACTTTCGACAACTATGTATCCAAAATTATTCCTATGTTTTTTATTACACTCTATTGCATTTTATTTTTTCTCTGATAAGAGTAGTCCTCAGTCTAAGGTCCCTTTTTATGGTAAAAGTTTGTTTGAAACTTCTACACAGCTGATAGCAATGATTTAATTGAACACCACATTCTCTATTTCTTTTCATGGATGCATAGGTACTACAGAGGTTCACCGGAAGCCCACCTCTACCTCAGGCTTTCAAATCTGTATAAAACTCCACAATTTTTAGATGGCAACCTGACCTTTTTGACTTTTTACCTCTCAAGAACCCAGAGGATATATCATGAAACTCTAG